GAATAAAGGATATAATTTCCAATTTATGTAATTACCCCACCTATTATTCTCAACAACATTATTATACTGAAGTACTCGTTTTTCGAACCCATGATTAGCTGCTCGTGCTACTCTTTCTATTGTGTTTCGAGCAAAAACTCTCACTATAGCTAAATCAGCATCATTTGCAAGATTTCTTACCGGTTCTTTCAAAACAATTCCATCGCCAACATCGGGTATCCAGCCTGAGACTGAATCGTAGTTTTTGGGATATAGAACTGTTTTCAACATTGTGTCAAATTCCCCAGGGTGTTTGATGGTTTCTATGGGATTTGAACCAGCTTCCAAAACCATTTCAGTAAATAAAGATGGAAAGAAATTGTTTTCTAACATTGTATTGGTTTGTGGTACACGATTCTGTTTGCCGTCTTTGATTTTGAAATCGCACCTGAAATAATCATCGGAAAGAAGCAACTAATGCGATAATGAATTAATCTCGAAAGTGACCCTACCCCCATCATTTAGTTGAGACCTAGAGCCAACGGTTGGTGATATGATAATGTAATCCTCTTTTTTTCTTATTAAACGAATAACGAATTGGATCATATAATTGAAAGATCGGATCTAATCTGTAATTTTTTTCTGCCATTTTTAAAGATATGTTTTACCCTATTATTTGAAACCAATTTAACCCATGGAAATGCAGGAAGAATAACAAAAAACCAAAGTAAGTTTTAATAAATACAAGGAAATTTAAAACAAACAATTACATTGATATACACTTCTACTAGATATACTTCAGAGTTTTCTCCCTTCTTACACTATTACCAGTCATAGTTCAAGGGTCAAGTGTCACGACCGCTCCTAGTAGAATCGGTAGATATTCTTCAGAGTTATCTCCCCTCTTACACTATTACCAGTCATAGTTCAAGGGTCAAGTCTCACGACCGCTCCTAGTAGAATCGGTAGATATACGTCACATATTTTATCCTTTTTATCAAAACGCTTGTTCTTCGGCACTTGTTCTATTTTCGAAATCTGTATCAACAATTTTGAATCCTCAGATATTTGTCACAGAGTTTGGTAGTATCCCCCACTGCCTGCGATGGTTTAAATATTCTTCGT